TACACAATGGATCCTGATTGGGACCTCTGGGCATTACTGTAGTACAAATATTTACACAACAGACAGTGACCTTATAGAAACAAAATAAGCAGAAGAATGCATTGAAGGGAGACACTTGATATACTCAGATAAATTAAATGTCAGAATACATTACCTGTGACTGCACTTTGCAGCTCAGCATGGCTTTCATGTGGAAGATATAATGCTGTGATTGATAGCTCTACAAATGTTTGCTGAATGCCCTAATTACCCTCACATAATGTACAGAGGCACTTAACTCCTGACTTATAGAATGGGCCATATAAGGGAGACCTGTCTTTCCTTACCTCATCATGGAGACCTTAACATTTTACTTTTATTACAGTAAATAAGCATAGCATCTGTTTTAGCTCAGCATTCTGTGATGAATGGCTGTATTTACCACTTTGTTACTATGGCAATATTACATGTGAAGTACACCAACAAGCTGATGCTTTCATCTCTCTTTGTACTTACAGTATACTCCTTTCTCTTATTTTGAGGGTGACCAACTATAAAGGGGACTGTGAATTTTTCTGAGACTCAAGACAAGGGCTTATTTTCTGAATTTTCCTATTAATTGTAGTAGATAAACTGATGGTTGTGTGTGACAAATAAATTCCAGAAACCTTAAATCAGGAACTGGCAAACCATATTCTCTTCCCCCTTCAGAAGAGATTTAGTGTAGCTACACTTCTTCAAATGAACAGAGAGCAAAACTGAAACCCTCTGCTTAACTATGGAAGGCAAGGGTGGGAGCAAAGAAACAGTCACACACCTGCATACCCACAGCTTTCTTGGCACAACCTAAACATTAGTTTTTGGTACATTTTTGATGGATAGCCACAAAAAATGGTGAAAGTAGGCAGGTGCATTATTACTAACAATAGCCATTCTGTTCCCATTAAACACAAACTCAAAATAATTCAGGGCAAAAAAGCTGAATGTAGATCAAACTCTTAGGTGGGGAACCCAGGACAAGGAAAAAGTATATTCAACTCAACTGGATGCAAGACAGCAGACAGATTTATAGCAAAACCTTGCAGACTGTTCTGTTTAATTGCTAAATTAATTAGTTACTGGTAGAGTTACTAGGTCTTTCATACTTCTACCCATAATATTTCTCTTTTTGATTGGTGATTCCTAGGTGGGGGAACGCAGGGTTATTTAGGGTCAGAGCAGGGGACAGGGAGTCAAGAGAATTGGGTTCTCTTTTTGTCTCTGCCACGGACATACTGTGTGACCTTGGGTGAGTCACTCAGATTAACATAACTTTTCTTAGAGCTAAAATGAGGATACTACTTCCCTCACTCACAGGGAAGTTTGTGAGGCTTAATTCAGTGAAAGCTGTAAAACGTTTTCAGATCCTCATATGAAAAGCTCTATAGAAGTGCAAAGTAATATTACAAGGAAAACATTTAACTCATGGAAATAGTTTAATTGCTTTATCAGTTATTTATTTAGGAAAACTGAACTGGTTTGGGGCATTACATTCTGCAACTTGATGAAGCAATAAATGCTTTACAAAGCATTTTTCTTCCTCAGTGTGGCTTCCAAAGCCTTGAACAATCATGTCTTTGTTTCTCTCTTTAGCAGTTTTCTTGTACAGTTTCTATTCGGATTTTTTAGGGCACTGAATGTCACTCTATTTGTATTTTGGTAACTGCTATATTATTCTTGTTCTATGGTTTCTGGGTGGATATTCACACAATAGTGTCCAGTAGTGCATTTCTGATTCCTGGACAGTTATTCAAATGAGATGGTTTTTTTCTTGTGTTCTGGGAAAGACTCTCTTTCTTCCTTCATGTTAAGGGCCGGGCCGTGTGCAGTCTTGCCTAATGGTCAGGGCGGGAGACTGACCTAATTTTGGAGCAGGTGACCAGGCCTAGTGACCAGAGCCCCAATCAGGAGCTGAGTTACCAAGTCCAGCGAGCAAGCTGGAGCCGAGAGCCAGGAATCAGGATCCAAGGATCAGAGTCAGAGTATAAGCCAGAGCAGGGCAAGAGCCAGAGGGAGGAAAGCAGGAACAGGAGCCAGGGATAGGGGCAAGGAAGATGCTGAGAGCAGGAAGCAGGACCAGAAACGGTCCTGCTACAGAATGTGGAATGCTACTGAGCAGCCAGAAACCAGTCCTGCTCCAGGGTTTAAGAATGTGCCTGCTGGAGTCTTCGGCCAATCAGGGGGCCAGGTTCATTTGCTGAACCATCGGAGGGCAATGAGATGCATCCGGGTTCAGCTGTGGGTCCCTGACATCTAGTCCTTCATTCTAGGTCCAGGGCTGGCAACAGTAACTCAGTCAGTCAGTCACAGGAAAAAGAGAGTGCCTTGTATATCAGGCATGGACCCCGGCATAGGCTAGCAAAGTAAGCACATACCCGTCCAGGCAGGCTTGTACAGTCCGCATTCATAGATATCTTTAGCCATACCAGCTGCATTATAGCTAGCATGGTCTACATGCTACATGAGCTGTAATCTGGGCCGGCTCTGGCTTTTTTGCCGCCCCAGGCAAAAAAGCCTTCCCCCCCCGCGGGGAGTGCGGCAGGGGAGGGCGCCGAGCCCGGTCATGGGCCCGCTCTCCCCGACCAGCCTGAGCGCCCGGGGGAGGGCGGTGAGCCCACCGCGGCTCCGCCGGCGGCCGGGGCTCCGCTCTCCCCGGCGGCCGGGGCTCCGCTCTCCCCGGCGGCCGGGGCTCCGCTCTCCCCGGCGGCCAGAGCGCCGGGGGGAGGGCGGCGAGCCCGGCCGGGGCTCCGCTCTCGGGCCGGAGCACCGCCCCGCCCCACTCCAGGCACCAGCCCACCAAGCATGTACTTGGGGTGGCACCTGGAGCCAGCCCTGGCTGTAATCACACCTCTGATTGCAGGGTAGGCGTAACACTGATGTCCTAACAGCAGAAAAGAAAAAAATATTTTCTTAGGATGCAAAGTATGAGTAAACTAGCATAATAAATTCTAGTTCATACAGTGGCGATAGTTAAAAATTTGTATGTTGCCTTAGATAATTAAGATCTGCCATTTGCTAACTCCAGTACTCCACAGTATTCAAGGTATTCCATATACTAAGCACAGGGAAATACTGTACAAGTATATAATGCACTACACCATCTTAGGTAAAACTGGCAAATATTCAATACCACCATCATAATCATGTCACCCATGGAGATGTGAACCAACATTCTGCAGAGCCAACCTTTTCTAGGCATGTCAGAAAGAGGAAAAAAGTCAATCCAAGGGATACTGTGGGCATCTTTTAAAAAAAAAAGTGCAACATTTGCCACTTTGTAGTACATCCTGTTTTAATTTCAGGAAAATACTGTGGTCGCTGAATGTTGAGTTTTTACTGATGCCCATTGTATGTATTTTAGGGAAAAATCCAGCAGTCAGGGACTTGGACTGCATGGCTTAATATATTTTTTTCCCATTTCTAATCTCGGTGAATCACTTGCCAATAGTGTCTGGAGTATTATACTACAGTACACATCCAACAAGCCAATTTTTTTTATAAAACATAGTACTTTTCAGCATAAAGACAGCAGGCATACCCTTCTGACACATAGGACTCTGATGTGAATATGTACAAGTAAAATATTTCAGTTCAAAGTGGAATAACTTCATTTATATAAACAAAGTCCTGAAGATTTGTATTGGCCAAATATTGAACGCTATAGTGTCCATTTTATTTTAATACCCCCTTGTATTAAAGTTCTGGACCTCTTCTGAGAGGAGACTGTGGCCTTGGCTACACTTACGAGTTGCAGCGCTGTAAAGCCACCCCCAGCGCTGTAACTCACTCCCCGTCCACACTGGGTACACCGCTGCAGGTACTCCACCTCCCCGAGAGGAATAGCGAGTATTGCGCTGCCGCTGGGCAGCTGTCAGTGTGGACAGACTGCAGTGCTTTCGCTACTCAGCTGCACGAAGTCAGGTTTAACTCACAGCACTGTACATCTGCAAGTGTAGCCAAGGCCTAAGGGTATGTCTTCACTACCCGCCATCGATCCAGCAGGGATCGATTTATCGTGTCTAGTCCAGATGCAATAAATCGACCCCGGAGTGCTCTCCTGTCGACTCCTGTACTCCACCGCAGCAGTGCTTCTATATCCTGGGAAATTTCCCAAAATCTGGGAATTTGTGAGTAAAATGTTTTCAATGAAAATTCCCAATTTCTCAAGTTGAAACATTTTACTCACAAATTCCCAGGTTTGGGGAAATTTCCCAGGATACAGAAGCACTGTAAAAACCTTTATCTGGGAATTTTTCACCAGATTTGGGAAATTTTTAGCGCTAGGTTGGGAAAAGTTGGCATCACGATATGGAAGCACTGCACCGCAGCGAGAGGCGCAGGCGGAGTCGATGGGGGAGCAGCAGCAGTTGACTCACCGTGTCACTCTGAAGACACCATGGTAAGTCGATCTAAGTACGTCGACTTCAGCTACATTATTCACATAGCTGAAGTTGCGTAACTTAGATAGTTCCCCCACTTAGTGTAGACCAGGGCTAAGTCATGCCCAATTAATTTTGAGGAGGAAGAATGTCCAGTAAAAGACCTGCCTGAGACAACTAAACTTGCTCTCTTGTGAGATCTTCAGAATTTGAACTTACTAGATAAGGCTCTGCTGCTGAAAATTAACTCCCTGTGCCGCACAGACCCAAACAATAGTCTGCATTTGATGGCAAGCAGCTAGTCAGAAGCCTACTCCTTCCTTGTTTGTTTGTTTGTTTTGTAACTTTCAACTGACCTGAACTTTGGGGAGGAGGAGGGGAGAAATATGGTCCTTAACATTAACTACACAAGAAATGGCAATACAAGTCACAATAGAAAAGAGGATTTCATCAGCTGAGCTTGTGCTAAAACACTTAGGTCTCTGTTACTGCATATCTTCTGCATGTTGTAAGTAAATAAAGACATTCTCCCAGAATGCAAATACTTCTCACGTTTTAAAGAAGTATTTCACTCACAACTTTGACATCTTTTAAAATGATTACCTCATTCCTGCAATGTGGCAGCTGATAAATATTCAGAAGAGGAGGAAATGTACTCTTCTTATAAAGCTGTAAGCTGGTTGCCATGTCCTATTACAGTTTCAGTACCAGTCTGTTATGAAACAGAAGGAAAACAAAACAGTATAAATAAAGGACAATATTACTACATCTAATTATATTAGCCAATCTTCAAAGCCAACATTAAACATATTTATAAAGCTTTATATTACAAACAGATTTTATTTATCATTTAAGTAATAAGATGTCAATTTATTGGGAAATGACTTAGCAAGTAGAATACAAGTCAACTGCCTTAGTAAATTATGTTGTATTTAAAGTAAATACTAGGTAATTGAACACACTCTGAAGCATTACTTTTCCAGACAAGCATTTTTTTTTTTAATAGGACATTTCCAATTCTGAAAAGTTGATTCCGGGACTTACTACTATCTTTATGGGAGATATACAGACCTTGTACTATTACTCCTGTACCTTGACTCCCATGAAAAGCCATTAATATTACCCACCCTCCACCAGCTAGCATAGTTTTACATAGAGTTATGAAATCTTTAGACCACTTCCAATTTTCTGTTTACTGAAATAATTGCCATTTTCACCATGATTTTAAATGGAGAAGCTGCATAGCTTTCCTTTTAAATGTGCTACCCGCCACTCTGATGCAGAGAGTAGAAAATATGGCTCATTAGGGATCAAACTCTGGAGAGGGGTGGGGAGTAGCAGTCCTGTTGCTTTCAATCCTTTCCTCACAGACACCTCACAAACCCCTCCATCTGGTAGGAACGTTACAGCTCAGAGCAGAAGAAAGAAGGGAAGCAGCCACATTCCATAGTGTGCCTGCCTTCTCCTCAAGTCCATGAAAATTACTGAATAGCTATCCATCTGGAACTTAATTTGGGTTTGACTAGCAGTTAACGCCTCCTCCTCTAAGGGTGAAATTTACAAAGGTACCTAGGTGCATAAGTCCCATTTTTAGGCACCAGTGTGATTCACAAACCTCCTGCTCGGCTACCACCTAACACTGTAGGCGCAAACTCTCTCAGAACCTACGTTTTTCCTCTAGGCATGCGCACTGCAGCACCAAGATGCCCACCTCCTGCCTGAGCACATACACACAATGCTGCCTCATAATAGGCATCTGGATACCTGTCTCCTGCCTGTGCACCAGAGCAATTCACAATCCAGGGTAGACATTCAGCTGCCCTAGTCACGGGCAGGGGGCTGTCCAGTAGGTGGCCTCTGAGCACACCTACCAGATTGGCCCCCTCAGACAAATTCACACAAATGGTATGTCTTCACTACCCGCCGTATCGGCGGGTAGCAATTGATTTATCTGGGATCGATATATCGCGTCTTGTTAAGACGTGATATATCAATCCCCGAATGCACTCACCATCAACTCCAGAACTCCACCAGAGCGAGCGGCGGTAGCGCAGTCGACGGGGAAGCCGCGGCTGTCGATCCCACACCGTGTGGACCCCAGGTAATTCGATCCAAGATACTTCGACTTCAGCTACGCGAAGTTGCGTATCTTGGATCGACGCCCCGTCCCCCCAGTGTAGACCAGCCCAAAATAGCTGTGGCATGGCAGGAGGGAAGGGGTTAGGAAGACAACCTCCTTTATAATCTTCAATTTAGTGCATAAGGTAGTCATCCAAGATGTAGGAAACCCCCATTCAAGTCCCCACCTCTGCCTGATGGGGAAAAAGGATTTGAACAGGATCTGCCTTTGCTCAGGGAAGCATCCTATCCACCAGGCTATAGAGTGCTTCAAACACTCTCTCTCTGTCCCAATTAATATTTACATATTCCATTGTTTAATTCAAGTGACGCCACGTCAACAGCAGAGATTAAGAGACCCTCCCCCCTCAATCAGAATATCCCATAACCTTGTGGTTAGAGCACTGACCTGAAAGTTGGCTGATCCCCTTTGCCTCATGAGGAGGATGTGGGACTTGAAGCAGGGGTCCCCCAGCCTGGTGAGCACCCTATCGACTAGGCAAAAGGTTATAATGGAGGTGGTCCTCCTGTTTTCTTTCATGTAACTTAGGCAGCCAAGTGCCCTCTTGCCCAGTTTGTGGATCACTAGTCAAGGTACAAGGTGCCTCCATGGACTTGGGCACCTATCTCTGACTGAGGGTTGGTGCTTAACACCACCCCCTCTTACCAGGGGTCTCCCTTTGGTTAGATTAGGCAGCTAGCATGCTGGCTTCGCAGCTCACCATTCTCTGGTGCCTATTTTTCTCCCCTTTCATTGCATAGGAAGCCTAAGGGTGCCTAACTCAGTCTTTATGGATTGCAGCATTGTCCCTGTGATTGTCCAGGCACCAAGGTGCTCAGTGTTGCAATGCCGGTATCCCTTCATGGATCTCACCCTAAACCTCTGCTCCTGCCCCATCTGTAAGTTTGGATGAAACCTACTGCTAATAGTGTGGGAGAGAGGGGGCAAACCCCACCCATTCCACTTACAAAAGTACAATTTGCAGGAAACCTCATCAATGGTAACTCAAGTCTCTCACCTGGAGGCAGCATGAGCTTCCCCTCACACCCACAAGAGAGTCCAGATTGCAGAAATTTATTTATTTAGAACCAAGAGAAGCTCTATGGGTGATTCAAGTTTAAAGGGAAATTGTAAGGGGAGGGGGAAGGAAAGGTAGGAGGAGAGGGATGTCAATGTAGATTTCAGTTAAGCTAGAACATGGTGAGGACTAGTTTTTAAAAATATGAATAGCAGCTATGCTGCACCCCAGAGCTTGCTGCATTTCAGTGGTGCAAGAAATAATCCCACCCTATGGTTTGTGCAATTAGATGCTTTGGGACTCTTTGAGATGAGTGGCAGCATAGAAATGCAGAATCCTGGTTTCCGAAAGGCAGAATAAGTCAAACATTGTTTGACTAGCTTTTAAAATGAAGTGCAGCCTTATTCATGTGCAACACATGAAATTCAGCCAGATGCACTGTTTGGGGAGGCGACTCTAAGGAAATGCAGTGAATCAAGTGGGAATAGAAAGGACAGACGCCGCAAGGCGATCTCTCGGCTGTTTCAAACCCGCCCGTTTAGCACCACCATGTAGCTGCAATAAGCCTATTAATGGGGGTTGGAGGCGGGTGCATGTTGGTATCAGACCCCACAGAGCAGAAACAGCTTCCCTGATAAATAGTCGTGCCCTGGCCGCGACCCAGCTTGGGAGACTTGGCCACAGAAGCACCGTCCCGTCCCCACTTCTCTGGGGCTGGTCACAGGAGCCCACCCCCCGGTTGCCCACGCACGTGTGGGAGGGAGCCCCACTCCCGCGGGACTCGGCCTCCCCAGCGCGGTTAGTCCGTGGCGGGGCTCGCGCTAGCCCCCGCCCTGCCCTGCCGGGGCCGGCACTTACCGCTTGCGAGGTGGCCCCGGGCGCAGTGAGACGAGCCGCTCCCGGGTCCGGCCAGCGCCCTCCCAGCGCCAGCCGCCGCCCCTCGCAGCGCCCCTGGCTCTGCCCAGCCCCCGCGCCGCGGAACAAGCGGGAGCCGCCAGGCACCGTTGGGCTGCGCCAGACGGAGCGCGGCCCTGCGGCAAGGGAAGAAACCTAGGGCAGTATTGGGCAATGGGGGTAGCAGCAGCCACGCGAGCGGTCCGGCGGGTTCCGCCCTGCACGCTAAATAAGCCGTGCAGAGATCAGCGGCATAGGTGTGTGGGGTGCGTGTTGTTGATTATGCACTTGAGCTGGGCACCAGGTTGGAAAAGCAAACATGCAGACTGGCGGTAACGAGTGAAATGAAGAAATCAGGGTGGGGTCACATTTCATGCACACAGAATCATAGAAGATTAGGGTTGGAAGGGACTTCAGGAGGTCATCTAGTCCAACCCCCTGCTCAAAGCAGGACCAATCCCCAACTAAATCATCCCAGCCAGGGCTTTGGCAAGCCGGGCCTTAAAAACCTCTAAGGATGGAGAGTCCACCAGCTCCCTAGGGAACCCATTCCAGTGCTTCACCACCCTCCTTCTGAAATAGTTTTTCCTACTATCCAACCTAGACCTCCCCCACTGCAACTTGAGACCATTGCTTCTTGTTCTATCATCTGCCACCACTGAACAGCTGAGCTCCATCCTCTTTGGAACCCCCCTTCAGGTAGTTGAAGGCTGCTATCAAATCCCACCTCACTCTTCTGCAAACATCCCATGCAGTGACATCATGCAATGAAGCCTTACATTGACTGAAATGGAAATCAACAAAATATGAGGCATTTGATTAATGACCATTGATCTATCATGGATCTGGACCACAGCTTAAGAACCTACTGGGTTAGGTCAGAGCAAGGGTCCAGCCAGCCAGGGGTGTGTGTACAAGGGGGGACAGGCAGGGGCACACGAGCTCCTCTTGCCTCAGGGCCACGGTGGAGGGAGAGAATGAGCTCTTCCAGCCCACTCTCCCCTGCAGCCAGGGGAGCTGAGCTCCCTCTGTGGCCAAGGGAACTGTTCCCTCCCCGCCCGCCCTCTTTTGCTATAATGAATCCCTGGCTATAATGGCTAAATCGCTTGGATCCCCAGGACTTTATTATAGTGAGGGTGTACAGTACTTCCTCATAACATCATGTATTTAACGTACCTCTCCAAAAGCAGTCAAATTTAAATGCCTGTGCAGGCCCCTGTGTATCCAGCCCAGTATCTTGTCTTCTTCTGACAGTGGCTGGTGCCAGATAACTCAGGGAGTGAACAGAACAGGATCCATCCCCCGTTTTCCAGGCGCAGCTTCTGGCAGTCAGAGCTTAGGGACACTTGGGGCATGTGGTTGCATCCCTGACCATCTTGGCTAATACTTACAGTATTCCCATAGCCGTTGTTAACATCTAGCAGCGATGTGACTTGTTTTGTTGACAGTGTTCTTGTTGCTATCTTTCTCAATCAACTGGTTTATGATCTTTGAATAGGTATGTGCCATTTTGCAACTTACCATTCTTTTACTTAGGAAACTCAATAGTGCAAACATTTACTCACTTGCATATGATATATTTTTGCAAGATTGTGGTTAAAGACCCAAATCCTGCAACCCTTGTGCACTTATCAGTGGAACTACTCAACAGGAGTAAAATTAGTTACATGCACATT